TATATATCTCTGTAATTTGTCCAATATATCCCTGTAATTTGTCCTTTATATCACTGTAATTTATCCTATATATCCCTGTAATTTGTCCTATATATCCTTGAAAATTGGCCTGTATATCCCTGTAATTTGTCCTATATATCCCTGTAATTTGTCCTATATATCTCTGTAATTTGTCCAATATATCCCTGTAATTTGTCCTTTATATCACTGTAATTTATCCTATATATCCCTGTAATTTGTCCTATATATCCTTGAAAATTGGCCTGTATATCCCTGTAATTTGTCCTATATATCACTGTAATTTGTCCTATATATCTCTGTAATTTGTCCAATATATGCCTATAATTTGTCCTATATATCCTTGTAATTTGTCCTCATGAATCCTATATATATCCCTACCATTTGTTTAGATTGCATACAGATGTAAAACAATGTTATTCCTCTATACAGACAAAGTCTTCATTTTGAATCATCATGTAGAGATATCAAACAGTCTTTTACCGTTTTTATAAAAAAAAATCTAGCATACGTCGCGTAATTATATTATAACTTTTGAAATCAGTTATTCTTTACAATAATTCTGAAAAGAGACGATCTTGAATTTGTCACTCAATTTCCATGTTAATTGTAAAAAAATGACATTTTTACAATTAAATTTTTGAAGACGGGGGGAATGAAAAATTGGACAGCTAAAGGCAAGTTTATTATTATTTTTGACACTGTTTTCACAAAAAAAAACATTTATGTTCTTTCAACAATCATTTTCTCCAATTTAGTGAGAAATAAAAATTAAGAAAAACACATGGGAAAAAAGATATTTTCAACAAGAGCGGGATATAATTTTTCGAAAAAAAATACTTTATTTTACTAAATATTAGTTACGTTTATTGTACATACATCTGCACAACGGTCAACAGTACAGTTAAACTCACAGATTATACAGATATGACCAAGGATGTCCTAATTGTTGCTTGCCCCCCCCCACATAATCACTCCTCCTCCTACTCTTTTTAAAAATAGCAATTTTTTTTTAACTTTAAAGAAAAAAAGAAAGTTTTAGGATGAAAGTGTTAAAAATAATCCATAATTGACAATTAGCGATATAATGTGGTTTTATTATCGTTATTTCTTGACCTGGGGAATTTCTTTCTTCCTTTTTTAAAACAATTTTGGTGTTTTATGTTTTCTTTTTTAAATAAGTGTACAATACTAAACAGGGAGGGAAGGCTATGGGGCACCCCTCCCCCCCACTCTGGGAGAATTGAAAAATATCTGTGTTTTCTGTGCTCGAATAATAATAAGCATTTTTTAATAAGATGAAGTATAAAAAAAAAATGAAATGAAATTGATACCTAAAAAATTGACATATATAAAAGAGGCAAAGCGAAAATGGCCCTTTTTTATATAAATAAAAAACGACCAAAAGGTATTGATTTTTCAACCTATTTCTAAAATTTTTAAAAATATTTTGTAATAGTTTCATGTTATATTACGTTTCTATATTGCACATCTGGTTAGAACTAAGAGATTAATTGCACTTTTGAGGTTTCACTAAATTTCACTTTTCAGTGTTTCTGTGTGAAGTATTTAAAGTTTGGAAGAAAATGGTTTAGTCCCGCTGTGTCTCAGAACTTGGTCTTGAAGGCCGCCATTTTGATTTGTCAATCTTTAAATTCGCAAGTAGTTCCGCGGCATCCTGCGCATTTTTCTCTTTTAGCGGATTTTCCAAACTGGACGCATTTAGAACATTTCTAGGCTTGGAATGAACTAAATCTTTACGGACAGGACTCCAGCCAGACTCAAGAATTGGAGGGTCTAACATCACATTATCATTAATATCTTTTATATTATCTTTATCACTAGAAACATTGGCACTTTTTTCATCTTTTAATGTAGTTTTTTCTTGAATATTCTTCTCTAAGTCACCTTCTATCGAGACCGTATTTTGTGTAAGAAAAACATGTGTTTTATTTGTGATTACAGCATCCACCATCTGAAAAAGTATTGATTCGGACAAGTTATAGGTTGAGAAAATCAAGGACATTTAACAAATTACAGAAATAGAAAACAATGTGACAAATTTAAACAATAGACGGATATAGAAATATAAAACAATGAACCTGCGTGGGAATATTTATTTGTTTACATTCAGGGCATTAAAAGAAAATACATAGAACTAAAACTAATTTACATGAATTTTAAATTCTACACTAATGTAAATGTAAATTTTGCCGCAATTTTACTTTATTATTATTGCAGGTTATGAACGGATAGACTTCAATTTAACTAAAGTGGTTTGACTGCAGTTTGACTACAATTTGACAGAATTTGAATGCAAATTGACTGCAATTTGAAAGAATTTGACTACAAATTGACTGCAATTTGACAGAATTTGACTGCAGTTTGACTGCAATTTGACTGCTATTTAACTGCAGTTTGACTGCAATTTGACTAGAGGTTGACTATAGTTCGACTATAGTTTGACTACAGTTTGATAGTACTTTGACAATAGTATGACTAAATTTGACTACACTTTGACCATAGTTTGACAATAGTTTGACAGCAGTTTGACTACAGTTTGATTACAGTTAGACTAAAGTGTGACTATAGTTTGACAGCAGTTTGACAGCAGTTTGACTACAGTTTGACTAAAGTTAGACTAAAGTTTAACTATAGCTTGACTACAGTTTGACTATAGTTTAACTACAGTTTGACTATAGATTGACTATAGTTTGACTACAGTTAGACTACAGTTTGACTACAGTTTGACTATAGTTTAACTACAGTTTGATTACAGTTTGACTATAGTTTGACAATAGTTTGACTATAGTTAGACTACAGTTTGACTACAGTTTGACTACAGTTTGACTATAGTTTGACTATAGTTTGACTACAGTTTGACTATAGTTTGACTCCAGTTTGACTACAGTTTGACTGTAGTTTGACTATAGTTTGACTATAGTTTGACTATAGTTTGACTACAGTTTGACTACAGTTTGACTGTAGTTTGACTATAGTTTGACTATAGTTTGAATACATGCAGTTTGACTATGGCTTGACTAAAGGTTGACTACAGTTTGACTATAGTTGGACTTTAGTTTGACTACTGTTTTACTACCGATTAATTATAGTTTGACTATATTAACTTTAGTTTGACTATAGTTTGACTACAGATTAACTATAGTTTGACTACAGTTTGACTATAGTAACTACAGTTTGACTATAGTAACTACAGTTTGACTATAGTTTGACTATAGTTTGACTTCAATTATACATTAGTTTGACTACAATTAGACTACAATTAAATTTACCTTAGGATGTCTTGACTGCTGACCCTCCATTAATGAGTCCAGTTGGCGCGCCATATTTTCATAAATACTTCCTCCCTGGTCATATTCCTAAACATCAAAACTAATATTACTTTGTACTGGTTTTTAATTGGTTTGTAACTACTTTTATCTGGTTTCTAACTGAAGTGGGACTTCTTGTGCTAACATGTATGTACTGGTTGTTACTGGTTTGTACAAGTTTATGCTGGTTTGCACTGGTTCGTACTGGTTTTTATTGTTTTGAACTGGTTTGTGCTGGTTTGAACTGGTTTGTACTGGTTTTTACTGGTTTGTACTGGTTTGTACTGGTTTGTACTGGTTTGTGCTGGTTTTTACTGGTTTGTACTGGTTAGAAGTACAGAGCGTCCCATATCATATTAGATTATCTCCAATCTTTAACACCAAAATAAACCCTTAATACTCGAAAAACTTATACTTTTCCGCAAGAAAATGCTTATATAAGCCTTATGTTATTTTTCAAAACGATTCATTCTAATGAAATTTTCTAATTAGTCCCGAAAATCGTAATTTAGACCCGTTCTCGGTCTAATATGATGCGGGACACCCTGTAGTTTGTACTGGTTTGTAGTTGATATTTAAGAACTTTGAATTTTGCTGAAAACTTTTGAATTGTGGATATCGAGATCAATTCTTGACCTTCCCTTTTTGTTAATCTTAAGATTATTTTATCTTTAGTGACCCTAATCCACTAATATTCCATAAGGGATATTTGTATTTCACAGACACATATTTTTGAATAATGATTTATGCGCAGTGTTCGGGGTCGTTTACAGTGGGCGACAGGTAATGTCTATTAGTGATATGCATTTCTGATATTTTTAAACATTCTAAATTGATGAGTTTAGAATTAGATGAGTAAAATTAAAAAAAAATTCAAAGTTTTACATGAAAAATTCCCAAATTTAATGTGTATCTTTTCTATACTTTAAACTGGTTTATATTACATTATTATCATCATTACTTAAATTATTAAATTATAGTATAATCCATTATAAATAAATAAATGTGCACAAACCAGCATCTCTGAATAAAATGAAAAAAGATGTGTTCAAATTGTCCAATTACCTGTATTTCAGTTTCATCTTCGTTTTCAACCTCAAAATCGAAATCTATGGAGGAGATTTGAGGATATTTACTTTTCTTTTCTCCAGATTTATCCCTTCAAGGAAAAATTAAATAATTATAGATCCGTCTCACAAGCCTTACAAATAAGTGATTTTAAGATGGATTTAGTATAAGGAGTCAGTAATTGAATAACCATGAGACTTTGTGATATTTCAAGAGGCAATACTCAGTCAAATTTGTCAAAAATTTAATTGTAAAACAGTTTAAGAATTCAACACACAATCTTAAGTAGAATTGAAAAAATGGTTTGAATTTTGCTTTTTTGAGTGACGCGGCTGGATTTTTTAAAATCAGACTTTAAAGGCCCTAAATATACCATTTAAAAAAGTAGTTTTGCCCGGAAGAGTCAAATGTGGTGGTACGGAAGGGAAAATAGTGGTGGCTCATGGCTGCCGTAAGAGAAAAAAGCTAATATGTGGCACGGAAGGGGAAATAGTGGTGGCTCATGGCCGCCTGCCTTCCCCCGCTCTAGAGACTGGCTAGTTGAGCTGAAAGTGCAGTATTGTAGAGAAAAACTTTAGGATTCATTTGATACCAATGTACAATTTTTTAATAAGTGCGTTTAGTCGTTTGTAATATTTCACTAATTGATTCAGTCAGCAGATGGTTTCTTGGATAAAACTCTACTTTGTAACTTGATGAATGATGGCACACTGCCAATCAAGATGTGCACGCTCTCACACAAAAACCGAGTATTTTGCCAACTACTCCTTTTAAAAAGACGGGTAGTATTTTTAAAATGTATATATCTATGCCTAAAAAAAATGAGTTGGCGAGGTAAAGCCAAATGCCAGGCCTTGCGGCACTTCAAAGTTGAGGCTCTATAGAAATCATTTGACACAGGGTTGTCTATATCTCAGTGGGCAAACATCTTTAATATTTCAATCATATACATTCGACTAGAAGTAGTCAACGTTTGAAATATCAGAGGTTGCGCACGACAAAAAGATTCAGACATCTAAAATAAACTATGCATCAGTTTTCCGCAATAATTCCGGTCTTGCATGACCATGGTCAGCAGAAAAAAAGTTTTTTTTACAATAATTAAAAAAACCGAACAAAAATTGTAAAAAAAATATTTTATAGACTAATTTGCTGTTAAAGAACATATTTTTAAAATTTATCAATGAAATCCATAGCAGAACCATAGTATTAATTAATTTATTATCATCCTCTCATTGTCTGTCTTTCATGTTTATCAGACTAAATAAAAGTCATAACTTGAGTCTAACAGTCGTCTTCCTATTCCACAGTTTTATGGCTGCCACAGCCCAGTAAAGGAAAAGGCAAAGACTTGCATGATGAAAAGAAAGACTAGGCAACAGATATACACAAAACCGTACATTTAAAGAAAAATGTCACAAAAGTAAAACTTACTTACTTGAGCTCAAGGTACTAATGCAAGGAAAGTTATTTCAGAGGTGTACACATTTTTTGTACTGCAGTGTACTGTCTTTGGGCGGAAAAATAAACACAAGACGGATGTCACAGCCTGACATGGAATCCATTTTCACAAAAATAATCTATGAAATATTCTGGTCATAAGAAACTATAATGTGAATTTTCAAAATTATCAAAACTAAATGCCTTTAACCACCTCGTATATTAAACGAACACTGATGCATCTATTCTTGTTTACAAATTCCGCCCAGATATAACTGGTTTCAATATGAACGCAGAGTATACGCGACCGAAATTAACTTCCCTTGCCTTATTATCTTAGTAAATTCCTGTTGCCGTATCTTCTACTTAATAATCTTGGATAAGAATGATTACCGTTGATTTTGTTCTTCCTGTTGTCTGAGAGTTGTATAAGGTTGAACAGGTACACCCTCATTGAAATCCATTTCTCGGCTTGTATAATTAGTCTCGTTTTCAGAGTCATCCATTCTATTCATTAAAACTTTTATTAATTTGAAGAACAAAGATTTCGTATTTTAAATATGCTTAATTGTTTATATTCTCATTTTATTTTATGAGTGTAAGAAGAACTTTCTTTGTTATCGTTTTCAAAAACATGAAAGAAACCATTGTTTTAAAAAAAAGTACTTTGATTTTCTCATTGAAAAATGTTTGCAGCCCTATATCGCGTATAGTTGTATAACTTTGATAATACAAACTATGAATACCATTGAAAATTTGAATTTAATCCACTTTACTTCTGTTAAACCAGAGATATATTTATGAGTACTGACAATTAAGAGAAAATGCAGAATTAAAGAGCTTTAATTTCAATTTCGAGGAATCGTATGTCTTTCAGTCAAAAAATGTGAAAACTATTTTTTTATTGACCAAGACCTCTGTTGTGAGAAGATGAATCTCACAGAAATGATGAAGCAAGAAGCCCATGCATGCTATGCAAGGAGAAATCAATTATCGGAATTATAAACTTTTAGGTTTGGCAAGAAAAAATCAGTTTCTTTAAACATATAATTCAATATTTGATTTAGGAAAAAAATCATTTATCTTGAAGTTATAATCAAAACTGTTACCTAGATTGTTTCGACATATCGGATATTTTGTACTCATTCGGAGCTTCAACAATCAACTCATGCCTAAATACAATGCCTAAGATACAGGGTTCCTTACAAAGGATGAGATCGTAAAGACGACCCAAAACTCTAAAAATATGACGATTTAAAGCTTGATTTTTGATTTCTGCATTCAATTGAGTATTTTGATGGTTTACTAAATGATAAAGCACAGAAATAAGCCAGCTTTGGCCTACTACTAGAAACCCTAAATGCATTGAAAACGGACTAAACGAATTCCATACAATCGTCTCTGAAGTCTCATTCTTTGTGGGTAACCATGTAGGTTGTAAAAAAAATATTTAAAAATTATAAAAACTTTTTTAAAATTTTCTTTAAAGTTATATAATTCATAAGATAAAAACTAATGAAAAATGAGAATTCCTAAGTTTGTATCAAAGTTCACAGTTAAAACGTTTAACTATTTCTTATTTCTGTCATTCTGTTCCTGATTCTAACAGTGTAATAACTATTTATAAAAGTTTTATTTAATTCTATAAGATTCTAAATGTTAGTATAAAGAGTGACCTGTAATTTATCTATCTATATACTTTCCTTGTATTTATATTGTTTTATACTGTACGAAGAGAAAATGTTCACAGACAGATAGAGCTACAATTTAAAACAAAAATAAACGTGAAGCGCCCTAAAAGGCTAGTACTTTAAATGCTATCATAGTTTTCGATCTTTCTAACAGAATGATAACCTAGGGCTAGCTAACAAACCTGAGTGAGGATGCAAAAGGTACATCTCCATGGGGAGGAGAAACTTTATCCAGTAAACTGTTGGTTCCTAAAATATATATATTTGTAAAATACAATTATAAAAATGTAAGTGTTGTATTTACCATTAGTCAAGTCCTAAGAAATTAAGAAGCCATAAATTTTTTTTTAAATATTACGAACATTTAAAATCTTTAAAATAATGTATGGAAAGAATACAGATTAGTTACCTAAGAAAGAAGAATCACAGATATTCATAATCTGGCAGAGAGATATCGCCCCACCGCCGCCCTTCACAACATCCTTGGTTTTACCGCCGTTCTTTTTCCGACGTTTACCGCCTTTACCAGGCTGGCGTTTAGGTCTTTTGTCAGTTTGTCGGTCTGCCCCAAGGAGGGTTAACTTCATTTTCTCGGCCAGCCTCTCTAGGTCTTCAACCTCGTTGCTCAACTCAGCCTCGGTCTCGGCCTCCGAAAGGGAGTCGAGGCCGAGGGTATTGAGGTCGAGTGAGTCCAAAGCGGAAAGGGAAATACCGGGTCCTTGGGTCAGAAGTTATATTTAACAAGAAAAAAAAGACAAAAGAAAGGAGAGAAAGGAAAGAAAGGAAAAGGAAAGTACAGAAAAGAAAATGAAAGATAAAAAATATTGTATAGCAAAGATTAATACAGTGTTACCCAAAAAGGATGGGATTTTGATGACGACCTAGGGATCTTCCAATCTTACAATATAGTTGTTAAGTGTGATTTGGCTATGAGAAAAAACAAGTATAAAGTTGCAGGGACCGCAATGGCCCTAAGGAAGGTCTTATTCTTAAAGGTAATCATGTATTTTTAAATCATGTTTTTAAAAACTGTATGATTTTAAATCATTCGTAAAATAAGAATTTGAAAAAAAACAGAATTCCTACAGTTAGAACCAAAAACAGTGGGTACTCTTAAAAAGTTAAAAAGTTAAAAAGTAAATCATCCTTATAGCCTCATGTAATAATTCAAAGGCAAACCGGTTAAAAAAAAGACAAAATCAAATATATATATATATATCTATAAATAAATTTGGCTTGTCTGTCTGTTTGTTTGTTTGTTTGTTTGTATCCAATAAACGTCAAAACGGCTGAACCGATCGGGCCCAAATTTTGTGTGGGACCTCACGTGACCGCAGGGAAGGTTTATGAATGATTGAAATTTCAAATATTTGTCTCCATCAAAATTCGATCTTCATTAAATTTTTGAAAATTTTGAAAATCCACGAAATTTTTTGTGAAAATCCGCAAATTATTTTTGTTTTGTTTTACGATGTACACAAAGAGAACATGTTCACAATTAATTTAGAAGATGGCTAGTAAATATATATTTCTATATTACAATATCTGTGGTGAAAAAGCATCAGTCTTCTTATAACATTTTATTCATAAACACACTGTTTATTGCTTCATGCAATCATCATTATGAATGACAACATATTATTTATAACTTAATAGAAAAAAAAATGAAAAATTATGGGAAATTTTTCTCCACTTGGTCATTTTATCCAATTATTTTTTAATTAAGTATTTCTAGAACCTGTAAATTAATAATAAATTAAGATTGAATTGAGTGGTTTTCCATTGATATATATATATATATATAAATATTCTCGTTGAAAACTTTTCAATGTTTTCTGACAAATAATATCTTGTATTTTCTCAATAGCGACTTCCCACCTGACAATATTCAAAAGGTTTCCAAGTGAACATTTCCCTAGTGACAACTCCCCAAATATGCAATTTCCTTTAGCGACAAACTTCCCAAAGGTTAGGTTATAGGTCTTCTGAGGCACCGCAGGCTGCAATGGGGGTAAAGAGCTCTGCGGCTAGGTTGGGATAGGGTGTGGAGAGCTGTGACTAGAACAGGCTAGGCCCCAGGGGAGCTTAGTGCTGCGGCGAAGACAGACTTGGGAAGTTGCCACTTTGTAAATTTCACAGTTTGGAATTTGATGCTTGGGAAAACGCCTTTGGGAAAGTACCTTACATCGTAATTTTAAGTGAGATTCCATGTCCGATTCACAATTTTTAAAGCAAGCTGAGGATTCAAAACATTTTAAAATTTATTTTCGAAATCTTTGTGTAACCATTAAAGTTAAATAGTCTAAAACAAAGTGAACAAAATGCTTGCTTTCATACATCCGTAGGTAAACATTGGTTTGAAATAGTGAATCGCTCATTAAAATATATATATATATTTATATAAATATCATTAAAAATCTCTTTTAACTTTACAAACTTGGTAAATGTAAATGTATCCAAGATATTGGCGAAGTCCCTTGAAACGTGAAGTTGAGTCGAGGTTAAAAAAATAATCTTTTTCAAGAAAAACTTGTAATTTAATAATTTAATAGCAAATTAAATAGAAAATTTCCATTTTAAGATAATATAAAGGAGGAGCTCTATTTTCTATTAAAATATCAAATAAATTAAATATTTCAGATTAAATCGAAGAAAGTTCAAAATGTATAAAAAGGTCAATATGAACTATGTATTTAAAATCATGAATGATAATTTGCAGTTTAAATTTGCCTCGCTATTTAGTACTAGCTTGGAAACCCAGCTTTGCTTGGAAATTAATCTTTACCTAAAATATATAAACCCATTTAACTTGAAATTTTAAACCCAAGCTAAGAACACGTTCTACCAAGTATCCAAATCAAAATTTTGGGCAAAACGGTCAATGGGTGCTCGAGTTATGATTGCAAACAAACAAACAATTAGAGACAGACAGACACCCAAACAGAGATTACTACTTTATACAAATATAGATATGTTATATCAAGGTACTAATGCAAGGAAAGTTAATTGCGGTCGCGTATACTCTGCGTACATATTGAAACCAGTTCTATCTGGGCGGAATTTGTAAACAAGAATAGATACACCAGTGTTCGTCTAGTATCCGAGGAGGATTAAAGCATTTAATTTTGATAATTTTGAAAATTCACATAACAGTTTCCTATGACAAGAATATTTCATAAATTGTTTTTGTGAAAATGGAGTCAATGTCAGGCTGTGACATCCGTCTTGTGTTTACTTTTCCGCCCAAAGACAGTACACTGCAGTACAAAAAATGCGTACACCTCTGAAATAACTTTCCTTGCATTAGTACCTTGTGTTATATATGTTTGAGCAGTGTTATAATATACCTTTTCTTTAACTTGCATGCGAAATCTTCAAAAAATTGATGAATCAAAATAGAAAGAAAGTTGAAATTTTCCAACCTTTTGATATTCTACGCAATAAATTAAAAATAAACTTAATAGGTTTAATGAAAAATTCTAAAATTTTTACTTACTTCTAACAATTTAAGGGTTATTACTATCAGAAATCTTTATTTGCACCTCTGATACTTCAAATTTTGACTATTTGATCTTACCGAATTTAAAGTTTGAAATATCGAAGGTTTACTCATTATAGAGGACAGAAAACTTACTGTGTGTTTACTGTGTAAAATGGTGTTCAAATTGCCAGAAAATCATATGTAGTACTCTGTGACCTAATATTGACATACAAGCTCTGTAACTTCCTACCTGACAAGAAGTAAAAGTATCTGCATAAAAACCAGGTAGCAGGAAATTTTCACAAGTAAAATCTGTGGCTGGAATACTCTTAAAGTCAGGATAATCCACCCCAGCCTTTCCAGGAATAAAACCAGGTTTTCCACCAGACCCAGTCTAGGTTAAAACAAGATTCAATTAAACTTAAAATAAATTCATTTTATTTAAAATAAAGTTTATTATTCTGACCTGACTAGACCGTAGCTGAGCCAATAGTTCCGGGCTAAGTTTCTCAATGATGGGAACAAATGCAGCTGGTTGAGGGGGAACTGTGGGCATAGGAGGTAAAGGTATTTCTCCGGGTCTAATCTGTAATCTTTCCAGGCGCTTTAAATTCTCCGACCTAACAACAATTTAATTTAAGGTTAGAAATGTAGAAGTGTTTCAACAATACATGATAAATGTCCAGTTGGTATTTGAAGCCCACCATATGTTGGGAAGATAAATACGAGTAGATTTTTCAAGGTTATGGTAAGGATGTCAGATGTAATGTTAAAATAACATACCTTGACTTTTGATTATCATTTGATTCCTCATCATGAGTTCCATCTCTCAGCTTAGCAAGTCCAAAAAAAGCTTCATCTAGTTCTAACTCCTCTATTGTAGCTTTCAATTCAGAATCAAGTATATCTATAAGTTCTGGATCATCAATAGATGGAATATCTTCAGGGCGTAGGAAATTTTTAGGAACATCATTCTTTGTCTTTGGTGGAATATAAGTATCTGTTAAATCTTCATTAGGGGGTACAATGTGACTATTCAGTATATCAGCATTCTTGTTTCTTGGAGGTGGGGCAACATAGGAAAGGTCTGATGAAAACTGTGGTCCTCTAGAAGGAGGTGGAAGATAATCTAAAGTTGGTGGTTCCAGACTGGATATTTCTTCCTCTATGGCTGGAATATACTCTGGTGGGGGAAGATATTCTTTATTGGGAGGATGTATATGATCATAGCTAGGCTTGAGTGGAGGAAGATATTCTTTATTAGGATGATGTATATGATCATAGCTTGGCTTCTTTGGAGGAAGATATTCTTTATTAGGGGGATGTATATGATCATAGCTTGGCTTCTGTGGAGGAAGATATTCTTTATTAGGGGGATGTATATGATCATAGGTAGGCTTGTGTGGAGGAAGATATTCTTTATTAGGGGGGTGTATATGATCATAGCTAGGATTATGTTGAGCATACTCACTTAAGTGATGGTTAGAATGATGTTGGTCTTTAGAATCATGATGGTTGGGAGGGATGTACTCTTTTGTAGGAGTTTTGTAGGTAGAATCTAAGCCCTTTGGAGCATGATAACTTTCAGTAGGAGGTATGTAGTTATTAGGTAACTTAGGAGCAGGAATTCCTTCATTGTAATCTGATAATCCAGCAGGAGGGTGTTCCCCATTGTAACCAGGAAGCTTAGGTGGAAGATATTCTTTATTTGGCGGTGAATATCCTGATATATGTTTATGCTCTTCATGACTTTCATGTGGTGGGAGATAATCTGCATGTGGAGGTAGATAGTTTGCATGAGGTGGAAGATAGTCAGCATGAGGAGGAGCATAGCTTTGAAGATTGTTACTGGGTGGGGAATGATGAAGGTCAGGATGATCTGGACTGGAATAATTAGGATTAGGAGGAAGATATTCCTTGTTTGGTGGAGAATATCCAGCGGGAGTTTGAGATGGTTTAGAATGTGGAGGAATATAATCTTTTGTTGGAGGTTTGTAGCTAGGATGAGGAGGTTTATAATCTGAATTTGGGGGTAGATAAGTAGCGTGTGCTGGAAGAGGATGTGGAAGTGGTGGAATATAGTCATCAATTGGAGGCCTGTAGGTTGTACTAATAAGGTTGTCTATTGGAGGCAAGTATTTTTCTGAGGGAGGCCCATGATGAGGTAGTAAACTTGGGTTGATTCCATCCTTAGAGGGTCCATGGTTAGGTAGAAGGTTAGGGGGTGGTATGTAGTCTGCATGAGGGGGCTTAAAGCCTTTATGTGGTTTGTAGTTCGGAAGTGGATTTGGTGAGGTATGCTGGTAATTTGGTAACAAGGGTGATTCACTCTTGCTGTACTCTGGAAGTTTGGGTGGCTCATTATAGCTGATTTGAGATTTTTCCACTATAGAGTTATATTCAGGTTTCTTCAAATGAGAAACATATTCATGTGTTTCTTTTTCTTCAGTCACTTTATTCTCACTGTGTCTCTTTTCAGCAGGTGGAATATTAATTTGAATATTGATAGAATGCGGAACAAGTCCTGGAATACAAAAAGTATTGTCTAAACTAAACTTTGTTTTTGTATAAATAAAGTAGAAAAATTGTTGGCAACTTAATTAAAACAAGAAATAAATCTCTTTATTTTAAAATCAAATTTGATGAAATCTTAACTATTAAATGAGTATTTTAAAGTTGATTAAAAATATTCAACCTATCACAAACTTATGGTTAAATATCTGTTCCACAAGTTAGAAAAGGACAGTAAATTTAAGTAAAAAGGAACTTAAGACAGAATTGAGGAAGTAACTTTAGAACCAAATCTTGCTTTCTAACCTGACAGAGCATTGTAGTGTTTATTATAATTAAAGTATCCTTCTCTATGCAGGGGGTATCCTGCTTCGCTATTCAGGTCTTCTCTAAAAAGCTCCCCTGGACTTTCTAGATGGTGAGCCCCTTTTTCTCCTATTGGATAATTGATGTTGTCAAAGTGATATAAGGTACTTTTCCAAAGGCATTTTCCCAAGCAGCAACTTCCCAAATTAGTCCTAGCCACAGCGCACAGCCCCCTAGTCTGTATTAGCCATAGCACTTGGCCCCCATTGCAGCCTGTGGCACCTGAGAAGGCTTAACCTAACCTTTGAAAAGATTTGGCTTGGGAAAATTGTACATTTGGGAAGTTTTTACTTGAGAAAATGTCACTTGGAAAGTCACCCTTGGTAAATGGCTTTGGGAAAAAACCTAATACTATTTAAATTCATTTTTATAGGACCTTTATGCAATTAAGTGCACATGATTTTTACACTCTGTTTATATTTCTTTTTTTGAGAACAGTTAAATTTCCCTTTGGAATTAAAGTTACAATAACTTTGTTATTATAAAACTCTTGCCAATGTGTGTTAAAAATCTTGGAATTTGGAACATTGCTCTTGTGCACGAAATCAGGAAGAAAATGTGGTGATGTATGTATATTGTCTGTAACGTCATTTTCATGCAGAAATTCATGATTTAAATCAAGTTTACCTGTTCTATCTGTTGAAGTTGCATGATTATTGTGAGTCACTTTAATCTTTGGAATTGTTTGTTCTCTTGAAGGGTCATTTTTTTCAGGGGGAAGATAGTTATATTTTGGTGGCTCAAATCCATTAACATTTTGCTTATTTTCAGAATTTGAAAAGGAAATTCCTTTACTCTTTTCAACTTCTTGAAGAATATAATCATCTATAGGTGGCGGAAGATAGTTTTTGTGAGGAGCAGAAAGGTGCTGAAAGTGTTCATCCTTTAATCCTGAAATGTTAAAGATGAAGATAAAAACTCTTGTAGCTAGTTTTACCTCCTAAATTGAAGCCCTTTACAAAAAATTCCTGGGGGATAAATTTCAGATTTGTTATCCTCATCTTAACTTATTATTTAGTGGTGGAGCAATATCTAAATTTTATGAATATTTTATTGGAATATATGGATAAAGTTGGGTTTGCTTTTTGGACATTGAAGAGGTTCCAGAAAAATCTAAGTAACTTACAAATTGTTGTTGATTCTAAACATTTACTGTTTTAACATTTTGACCCTAAGAGAAAATGTGTTTAAAAAACTAACCCAAAACTTTTAATACTAAATTGAAGCTACGTTTTATCTGCATTTACCTTTTTCATGGGTAAGATAACTTGTCTCAGGAAGAGACAATTTGGTCAATTGCTCATCTTCAGGATTAGCATGCTTGGGAGGAGGCAGGTAAGACTCAGTTGGCGGGGACAACTTCATCTTTGAATGAGTTTTAGTTGGAACTTTATAGCTTACAGAAGGAAGAGAATAGTGAATTAATTTTGCATCTTTTTCAGGAGTATGATAACTTTCAGGTTCTAAATCATGATTCTTATTCATGTGAGTTTCATGAGGATTTTTATGAGAAGGAAAGTAGCCTTCTGAAGGGGGTGAATAATGAATTAGCTTTTCCTCTTGGTAATTCTCTTTAGGAGGTATATAACCTTCTGAAGGTGGTGAATAATGAATAAGCTTTTCCTCATGGTTATTCTTTTGTGGAGGAATATATCCTTCTGAAGGTGGTGAATAATGAATTAGCCTTTCCTCATGGTGATTCTTTTGCGGAGGAATATATCCTTCTGAAGGTGGTGAATAATGAATTAGCTTTTCCTCATTTTGACTCTTTGGAGGAGGGAGGTAGCTTTCTGATGGTGGTGAATAATGAATTAGCTTTTCCTCATTTTGACTCTTTTGTGGAGGAATGTAGCCTTCTGAAGGTGGTGAATAATGAATTAGCTTTTCCTCACTTTGACTCTTTTGAGGAGGGAGGTAGCTTTCTGATGGTGGTGAATAATGAATAAGCTTTTCCTCATGATGATCTGAATGTGGAGGAATGTAGCCTTCTGAAGGTGGTGAATAATGAATTAACTTTTCCTCAAAGTGACTCTTTTGAGGAGGCAGGTAGCCTTCGGATGGTGGTGAATAATGAATAAGCTTTTCTTCATGATGGTTCTGATGTGGAGGAATGTAGCCTTCTGAAGGTGGTGAATAATGAATCATTTTATCCTTATGATCATTCTTTTGAGGAGGGAGGTAGCCATCTGACGGCAGTGAGTAATGAATAAGCTTTTCCTCATGATGATTTTGATGTGGAGGAATGTAACCTTCTGAGGGTGGTGAATAATGAATTAGTTTTTCCTCATGATGGTTCTTTTGTGGAGGAATGTTACCTTCGGAGGGTGGTGAATAATGAATTAGTTTTTCCTCATGGTGATTTTTTTGAGGAGAGAGGTAGGCTTCTGATGGTGGTGAATAATGAATAAGCTTTTCCTTATGATGGTTCTTTTGTGGAGGAATGTAGCCTTCTGAGGATGGTGAATGATAGCTCTCACTTTCATCATCATATGTATAGCCTGCTAGAGGAGGAAGATAGTTGCCTGGAGGTGGTGAATATTTTGACACTTTTTCATTTACAGGAGGAATATATCCCTGAGTTGGTGGAGATATGTGGTCCAGGACATGATTAGAATTGGTTTTGTGAGGGGGTAAGTATTCTAAATTAGGTGGAGAGAAGTGATCAATCTTTCTCCCTTCTTTAGAACGTTCATTGGAATATGTTCTTGGTGATTTAATATCTTCCTGCAACTCAACCAAATGATACACCTTCTCCATTTCATGCATGGGTGCAAGATTATGTGTATTTAAAGTTCTTTGATGAAAGTCAGCTCCCTGAACTAAAGTTCTAGGACTAGGAACATATTCATGTCCTGGAACTTTATGAGCATAATGACTTGGTATTTGATGACCTTCAGGGTTTAAGCAAACATTATTGCAACCATCAAAACAACAGATTCCATTGTAAGGACAATCTTCATCCGGGACCCCAACACTCCAACACTCATGTTTTATATTATGGCATTGGTCCTTTTCCTTTGACTCAAAATGAGGACATAGTGTGTAGTCATACATTGGAGGTTCCATGTGTGTCATCTGCTTTGGAGGAAGGTATTGTTTATTGGGAGGTTGAAAGTTAACTTCATGATCATTATGGTTGGCCTTAACAGGAGGTAAATACTCTTTTGATGGTGGCTCATAACTTATTGCTTTATATGGCGTAGGTGATGGTCTTGCAGGAGGAAGATAGTCTTTGCTGGGAGGAGCTAGAGTTGACATCTGATGTCCACTGTAGTCTTTACCAGGTGATTGCTTCTCAGGGGGCAAATATGCTTTGCTTGGTGGTTCAATAGTTGTTGACATGAAGTGAGGCTGTTGGTATTCTGCTGAGGGTGGATGCATTGTTAACACTCTTGGCGGAGGTAGATATTCCTTAGTTGGCAATTTGAGGTGATCATATTTAGGAACTGAGTGTTTAATTTCAGGTGGAGTCATTGTAGTGGATACATGATCTTCTTTGTAAGGTGGGATATACTCGAAACTTGGAGGCTTCATATTTGCATGATCTGGTGGTAAGTAGTCATGATTCGGTGGCTGCATAGTACTAACATATTGTGGTGGTAAATAATCCAGTTTGGGAGGTTGCAATGTGCTGTACCCTGGTGGAGGAAGATAGTCTGTGGAATGTGGATGTATTTGTTCCACTTGAGAATGAGGTGGAAGATATTCTTTCTCTGGTGGTTTTAAAGATGTTAACATGTGAGATGCAGGATGTGTTTCAGGAGTTGGGGTTCCCTTATGAACTGTATCCAGGGATATTTTCACTGGTGGAATATAACCAATAGAAGGAGGTTGGTATAAATTGCTTACTTTTGAAGGTGGAAGGTACTCTTTCTCGGGGGGTCTATATCTTGAATATTCCAGGTCTGGGGGATAATACTCCTTTCTAGGCGGGAGATATGTTGGAAATGCTATCTTCGGTGACTGAGTGGGTGGTAAATAGTCTTTTTCAGGTGGTTGATAGGAGTTTATTTTGTGGGGAAAAGCATCTAATGATTTGTCCTCTTTAGGAGGGAGATAGTCAGGCTGAGGGATATAACTACTTGGGTGTGAAGGAAGGCTTTCAGACTCAGGCTTTTTTTCAAACCTGATGCTGGGCTCTCTATAGTTTTGGCTAGGAGGAAGAAATGCTGTATTGAGTGCTTTGGCCTCGGGGATTTTGCTTTTTGAATTAATAGAATGTGGATATGAATCACTGTTTTCTAGAGGTGGAGAGTAATGATTTTCAGGGGGTTTATACTGTATTGGAGGCCTTGCGGTGCTTTTTGATGGTGGAGATGTAGTCCTATATGTGTTTGATGGAATATATGGCCCTAGTCTGGCAGGTTCTGGCTTCGAAGGGTACTTTGGGGGAACAAGAGGCTTTGATTCAAGATGATAGTCACTTGGTTGAGGACCCTCTGGCCCATCAAAAACTGGAGGAGGACCGATTTTAGGTCTGAAATCAGGTGGTGAGGGGGAATAAAACAGAGTCTCCTCTGGTTTGTAGGTTGTGGTATATTGAAGAATTGTGGCTGTACCTGTAGGTGGAGGAGGAGATGGAGGAAGGGTTGGAGGTTCAAATCCTGGATGTGGTGAATATGAAGGAAGAGGGGGAGGTGAAGGTTTTGGAGGACTCCAACACAAATTAATACACCCATCAAAACAGCAAACCGTTCCATAGGGACATTTGTCATCCTCATAGCCATCATTGTAACATTCCGATGGGGGTGCATTGTAACATTCATGTTCAGGTCTCGAGAGAATACTTGGGCATATGCTGGACACCTTTGACTGATACTTGGGTCGGTAATTATTTTCACCTTGATAGCGAGGGATAGCAGGAAGACTTTTTATATCTGTTTTGGGGGGATTATAGCCTTCATTGATATCAACTGCTTTAATTAGTTCTTTTAAGTTTATGGAGGGTCTATGAACATCATCAAAGTTTGGGCGCTGATAAGTCAGTTTAGGATGAATTGCATTTCGCTTATCATGAAGATTAGATTCATACCCTTGGGCTGGTATTGCTGTAGTTCTAGAGTATGAGCTGCTACTTCTTTGGTCATCATCAGGATCAGAGATCTCCTTCAGATCAAGGTCGAAGATATCATCCAGATCTATTCTGTGAATTCCACTTCCCATACTGCTGATCTTTGAGCTGAGCTGATCTAAACATAAAATGTTAAAAGTATTACCATGAATGCAATTGTTTTAACTTAAAAGCAAATTCCATGTCTACATAGTTTAACAATAAAGCTTTATGATTGAAATCATATTATAAATCTAAACTTGACAAAATTTACTAGTTTTGTGCTACTAATAGTTTACTAGTACATTTTGTTCATATGCAAAGGATCTGACCACTTGCCACAAGCACTAAGTTACAAATCACTACATACATGCAACCTGGTGGCGTAAATTTGAAAATTTGGTATTTTTATCTTTGCCTATTAGATCCAGCAGAATAAGTCATAGGTTACATCAGGTTGCAAAAATATAGAAATAAAAAAATTCATCTCAAAAAAACTATTACCTAAAGCAGATTTGAGCTCAATATGTTCCTTGGCGTTTTCTTTTTTGTTTTTGTTTTCAGATCTAATTGGGGTCTTGGAATCTGATGTCTGATAAAAAGAGGACTGTGTTGTTCTGGTCCTTTGTGTTGTTCTGGAACTTGGAGTTGTAAACCCAGACTTGTCTTGGTCCCTGTCCTCCTTCCACCCGTTCATGTCTCCAGAGCTGTCAACATTGTCGATTCTGCGGTTGGATTTGGTTGGTTCAGATTTCTCATATTTTGTCAGTTTATCCTAAAAATCAATCGGTGATTTAAAACAGGTAGTTTAGCGACCTAGCTTAAATTCATTTAATTCGGTTATTATAAACTTTCAAACTGATTTATCTAATTTTAAAATTTACTGAACTTATTCATCTAACTTAACCCGATTTGTGCTATGGCTATTTTACAGACTGTTCAAACATTTACCGCATAAGTACAGTGTTATTTTTAAACAGGCAAAAACAAATTTTAATTTTCTCAAAAACTGATATCAAAACTGATATCAAAACTGATATCAAAACTGATATCAAAACTGATATCAAAATTGATATCAAAACTGATATCAAAACTGATATCAAAAATCAAAATGTGCCCAATAAAAGTGATGAAAGGTTGAAAAGGAGTACATTGAAGTCAGATTTTCTTTTCAAATCTCTCAAAATATTACAAAATTGAACTTTTTTCACAATGCTAAAGCCAAATGCATATTCTATACCAAAAATTAGAAAAAAAATAAGAACCATAAGATGGACAAAAAAGTGAAGAAGATAGAAAAGCATGCAACGATCAATTAAAAAAAAGATTCAATGTTAAAAGTTCTCCTGTAAAGATAAATAATTTTATGTTTAAAAACTACACTAATGACTTGAAACAGAATTGTCTAATTTATCTGAGTTTTAAAGGGACCGTTCACTTATTTGAGTAATTTCAGGGTAAACTAAACATCAATTAGTGTCTATAGAGAGGGACCGTCCCTTTGCGCTCGAATTCTGAACGAAAAATCGGCTTTTTCTCCGGCCACAGTTGTCTTTGAAAAGTAAGACTATTAATAAGTGAACGGTCCCTTTAAGCTTTAACAGAATAATTAAAAATTCTTGACGGCATTTGTAATTAGAAATTTATTATTTTGTATATTGGGATCAACTTTATTATAAGCTATATATTTTCTTATTTCACCCATTTCTATATCACTTTTCTGGTTTTAAAAGTTTAAAACATTGATTAAATACACGTAAATAAAAGTATAATGTTTCTACCCTTTTACATAATTAGTACACTCTAAAAAAGAAAGACGACTTTTAGACTCAAGATATTAATTTAAGTTGTCAAATAACCATGGGACACTGCAATTGTGCAGTGTAAACAGACCTATTTAACTTTATTAGTGATTTTATATGTGTCAAGTAAAACTATTTGCTTTGTAAAAACATCTAAAACATTTAAGTGTTGCTTTAAGTCGTCTTCCTATTTCAGAGTTTTCTGGTTATCACTGTATGCATATTTAATCAATGGTTTAGAAGTTTAAACCAATCCCACCTGAAGGATTTCAATCATTGATTTGAGTTTTGTTGTTTTATTCTCCTCCTCCTCATTTCCTCCTTTCTCAGTAGTTCGACTTTTGTATCTCTCAGACATCCGGGCTATACAATACATTTATAAACATTAATTATTTTGAAATTTATTTTTACCTCTCAGCTACATATTTATATGCTTGTCTGTCTGTCCGTTTTTATCCAAATAAACGTCAAAACGGCTGAGCTGATTGGGCCCAAATTTTGTGTGGGACTCCAGCTAATGTTTATGGATGCTCAAAATTACAAAAATTTGTGCCCACAAGTTTTTAATGTTTGTAAAATTTTTAAAATGGGCGCAAAAAAATTATTAAAAATCCGCGAAGTTTTTTATTATTATTGTAAGAGAAGATGCACAATTAAAAATTGGAATAAGAGATGGGTGCAAAGCGCCCTAAATGCCAAGTATTTTGAATAGTCCCCAACAGTTTGTTTCTGATATTTAATTTCCGAAAGAATTTCAAATTTATCGACAGTATTTTAGAGATAACTCAATAAATTCGTAATTATGAAAGACTCTCCGATAAGATCAATATAAGGATCAAAATGTTCGGGATTCTTTATCAATGTTAGCAAATTAATGTCTATTTGTCTATTTGAAACTATGAATTGAGTTATTTGTCTATTTGAAACTATGAATTGAGTGGTTGGACTTTGATTTTCCGGGCAAAGCTGGATTCCAATGCCAGTTTATTTATGATTTCCAATTAGTGGTTGAAAAAAGCGTTTTTTATTTGTTAAGAACAAAGCATTTGTTACCTAATAAACTCTTCATTTTCTCTTTCCTCTCATCGGCTCTTCTTTTTCCTTCTTTATTTCCCTCGTTTTTATCTTCTTCTTCTTTCCTTCTTTCCTCTTCTCTTCTTTCTTCCTCCTTCCCTTTCCCAGGTTCATCATATGTATCCCATCTTTCCCTTGTATCCTGTGTATCCTGTGTATCTTGTGTATCCTGTGTATCAAAAAAATCCTCTGTATCCTCTGTATTCACAGTATCCACTGTATCCACTGAATCTTCATCTTTTTCCAAAATATCTTCACCTTGAAAAATAAAGATATTTAGTTTCCCTTGTACTATCTACCCCTGTATCCCCTGTATCTTGTAAACCTACCTAGAAATATGACATCATTGTATTCTTCCGGTGTAAGAATTTCAAAGAACAGATATTTGAATCTTGATTCACTCTTTTCAGATTCTTCTAAAATATCATTAAACAATTCCAAACTTTTTATAATGTTTGTTGGATTATTAAATAAGAAAACAAAATATTCTTGATTACTTCAAGATGCACAGGGTGTCCCAGAGTACATAGAAATTGTCCGTGACATGATTTTGGTTGGCTTAAAAAACAGTTTTCAAAGAAATTTCAAGTCTTGAGATTTCCTTTATGTAATCTGTCATTTTGTTTTAACTCTAAGTTTACAGAGATATTAAGAAATTTATCCAAATTTCCATTTTTAATCCTAATTAAAAATTAACCAACATATGCAGGGAGGGGGGTAGGATTTCTGTGAAAATAAACAGTTTAAAAAAACATAGCTTTATCTTACTTCAGATAAAGCTTAAAAGGGTACCGTTGTAACTTGTAAATCGGGGTTTGCCCCCTTTAATGAGCAGGAGAGACATCTTGCTTCGTTGCTTTTTGAACAGCACAAGATTTTCATCGTGGGATTTCTTTTTGCAAACGGAATTTCTATTTTCAGAGTTGTATCTCTATTTGATCCCTATTTTCACGTGTAATACTGGTTATGGTGTTTATTAAGATTTAACAAGAGAAAAAAAAAGTACAGAACTCAGGGTTTAAGCTTAGAGAGGGAAATATTCCAAGAAAACAAATAAAGGGAGCCAATTATCGTTTGTTTTTTGTTTTTGATTTTTAGATTATGTCTCTACAGTTAAGCAGGTTACAAAAGATTAAGTTTTTATTATAATTCTACTTATTGTAGCGCTATTACAGGGACTGTTAAGGAAAAATTAAAAGGGGGTATATGTGAAAAGTTAAACCTAAGCATTTTAGGTGTTGATAGAGACCCATAAGAGTTCTATCTGATCTTCCTGTCTCGAGAAATCGATATAAAACTATGTCAAATTTATACGAAAATTTATAATTATAAAATTTTGTATAAAAATAGTAGGTTTAAACAGATCATATTCAGCAAATACGCAACCAATCTAAAAAACGACGATATCCCAGAGGAGCCTGAGAAACTTAGGCTTACTCCTATTACTAACTAAATTAAATAATTTTTCATTTTTATGCGCTCTGGATGTTTTGTTGGCAAGATTGGATCACGTGACCAGTATACTGCACTGCCATTGGTTGCAGTTCTGGTCACGTGATACACGATGTACTTTCATTTTTCCTTTACAGTTCCTTAAAAAATAACAAAAAATGTTTTGAATTTCTCTTTATAACAAAAGAAATTTCCTTTTCTGTAAGGTCATAAAGTCCTACTAGTGATGTGGCATAAATTTAACCCTTCTGAACATAGTTTGCAGTGCTGTATGTACTATGTATGTATGATTTACAATTTAAAATAAAAGTTTTTATTAAGAAATTTAAATCTGAATATAGAAATTTTATAGATATTTTTAAAGCATTTTTCACAGATCTAACGTTTGCAATAAAAGCTGTAAATTTGTACTTAAAAATCTAATATTTACAATAAGAAAAAAGTAAAATTTTCAAAGAATCATTTGATCTTTCATTAAAAATATTCCCCAATTCTATAATCCTCCCATTGCTCACATCCTGCATCATAATATTGAAATCTAAAATAAATAAAAAGATGAAATATCAAAAATATTGAAGGTTTGTACTATCTACTTATCTAATATCAGATTCAATTTCTTTATAAAAAGAATTTATATTATCTCGAGCTCAATATTTAATTAAGTTTAAAGGGAATATTTGATCCTGGGTTTAAAGTAGGGCTGGTCACATTCCAACTTTTTTTAGTCGTTTTGTTAACGGTTAATTACAACCGTTAAAAAGGAGAAAGTTTAGGTGGCCGTTCATTTTAAAGGTAAGAACAGAACATTTGTTTTGTTAATGGCATTTATCGTTTTTTTAATTACCGTTAACGGCGCAAAGCGTGGAAAAAAAATTTGTTAATGATTAAAAAATCATTAGCGGTGCAGCCATTAACAGTCTATTTCAGTCTGCACAGCGCAAAGCAGCAACAAATATTGTTAACAGTTATGAAATTTTTAAGTGCAGCCGTTAAAAGTCTTTTGTAGTGTTACCGGCGTTAACGGTTTGTCAGATCGTTAACGGCACTATAAGTTGAATTATATTTATCCTTTTCTGCGAACTGAATATAAGTATCTAGATATCCCTAGATATCCAAATCAACTATATTTATCCTATTCAAAAGTTATCGCAATCTTTTTTCCGTTTTCCGTTTTCGTTTTCAAAAACGGCTAATCCATTTCGTTAACGGTTTTCGCCGTTCGACAACTGACTTTTCCGTTAATTTACGAAAACCTCTGTTCCGTTAATGGAACTTTGCTCAGCCCCAGTTCAAAGAGGTAATTGACGACATTGCCGCAACTCGGTAGTTTGCTAGGGAATGATTTATTTTATTACTAGTTCAAATGATTTTTAAAAATCTTTTTTCCTCAAAATATTTTATTTTCATTTTTGTTCCTTGTTTTTGACCTGAAAATTTCTGTTTTTTCAATCCCCCTATTTTTATCTTCGAAAATATATTCTAATCCCTATTTCGCTGCAACCCAAAGTCGTAGACCTTAAATATTGAATAAGATTGAATTCTGTTTCATAAATAATCTTGTCAGGTTGTAAAGATATAAGAAATAGACAATTTAAGTTTGTTGCAAAGACTCAACTACTTAACGTAAACGTTACCTGATGGTGGGATGGATTGGACGAATCCGAATCTCCATTATCTTCAAATTCCGAGTTCTCGACATATCCTAGGTTTTGATGATATTTCTCATATTTGTTTTGAACCCCGTCCTCGTCACTATACCCAGGGTTATTTTCCTCTAGGTACTCCAAACTCCTGGCTGGGTTCTGCTCCAGGTACTGAGAACTTTGCTCCGAACCCTGGGCAGAGCAGAGCACACAAACCGACAAGCAAAGTACACCTTTAAAAGAAAAAGTTAAGAATACTTTTTACAACCCCATAAGCGATATTTTAAAAATTGGTAAAAAACAACTTTAAACGACTGTAAAAACAGAAATATTGATCGGTAGGCTTTTTCGCGCCCATCTTCTATTTCAACATTTAATTGTGGCTTTATCTGTGAACATCTTCTCTGTTTACAGTATAAAACAAAACAAAAAAAGTTTGCGGATTTCATAATAATTTTTCGCGCATTTTCAGAATTTTACAAAAATAAAAAACTTTAAAACAGAAATTTTCTAAAATTTTATCATTCATAAACCTGATGATAATGTTGATAATAATGATAATGTATAAACCTCAAATAGTCGAAATATTAATCATGATGATAATGTTTAAACCGGTTAATGGTAGAAATATTGATCATGATGAAAATGTATAAAACTGCTATGATAGAAATATTGATCATGATGATAATGATTACACCAATTATGAAAAAAATATTGATCATAATGATAATGATTACACCAATTATGATAGAAATACTGATCATAATGATAAATGTAAATCATAATGGTATAAATAATGATCCTGTCGAAAATGTATAAACCTGCAAGGGTAGAAATATTGATCATGACGATAGTGTGTAAAAGACGTGAGTTAAAATGAACATTTTATATCATTTTCATTTTCTGAAATACAATTTTTATTAAATTAGCCTTTAACGTTGCTTCGCACTTACATTGTAGTAACACTATAGCTTTTACACTCGGTGACGGTGAGAGACCAAACCTCTGTAGAGTAAATAAAGTAGATGTTAGTTCCACATTTTACTGAAAATATATTTCGGTCTAAGTTAGACCCTAGTCACCATTTTTTATTGTTCTCATTAATGTTTATTCAATTTCGGTTCAGCCGTTTTGACGTTTATTGGGCACAAACAGACAGACTCGGCAAACTAGCAAAGTGAATAAAAAGGTCAAAAACAAGAACTTTTTGTAATTATTAAGTAGAGATTTATTTTCTAGGAAATGTAGAGTGTAGTGTTGGCGTTATTGAAAATAACCCTTCATTATCCTACTCACAACTTTAAACTTGCGTAATATCAGAGATTATCAAGGATATTCTGGGGAGTTAACTCTAATTGAGGATTAAAGAACAACCGTTCGTTGTGAATCGGTCATGTCACTCTTTGAGGGTAACTTGAAATTATGTCACAGTCCCTGTAATGTTCTTAATTGATCAATTTATCCATTGTTTAATAATCATCTCCATGTTTTTAAAAAAGGGGGGGGGGGGGGAGGGGATAAGTAATTAATATGGTTTAGACAGGACCTTAAAATTTCTAAACTTGCCCGCTGTGAACTTGTGTTTTTCAAACAAAAGGGATGGTTCGATTGTAGGAAAGGGGGGTGGTGTAGAAAAGTTGAATTTATATAGAAATCTTGGATTTTTAAAAAATTCTAAAGACTTTACGATGAAAAACATTTGATTTTTATAATCTCTTTTTTATCTACAGAAGTTTAGTTGAATCAGAATTATTATCGGAGAAGAAATTATGTTTGTCAAATGCAGGTGCAGCTCGGTAAATTAATCGTTAATTGCACTATATGCTCAAAGGGTAACAAGTTTTAAAATATAGATATTTTAAACATAAAATTATATTTAATGATAATTGATGAATGATGAAGACATATTGACTGATTAAAGAGCAGATGGTGTAGATATATCAGATCAGCTGTTTCCTTGTTAAATTCAAGCTATTTCGTCATTTTATTTATCATCAAATAAACTGGAAATAAATTATTTTCTAAATGCATTGAAATTTTAAACTTCCCTGTATACGCCTCTTAAAGAAATTTTGAGAGAGGGGAAATGCCTGATTAACAACGTTCACGTTTACTGAGAAATATATTATTATGAAAAGCGATAAATTCTGTTAATTTTCTTGTTTGTTTCTGCTTTATAAACTTAGACGTGGGGTCAAAGGGTGCCATTTTTTTATCGGTCATGTCACTCGATACTCATATTATAACTTCCTTTGTCACTTTCAGTCCCATTCTTTGTACAGTTTACAATATAAAATAATCAAATTTTATTCTATCCACACAGTTTTTAATTCTAAGTTTTTGCCCCCCCCCCCCCCCTTGGCCCCCTCTCCCACTGAGGTGTAAAATTCAAATTCAAAATGTAATTTGCATGGTATATATTCGCGGACTTGGAGTCCTTTATCAATTTCATCATTTCATCCCTCTGGTTCGAACTAGGAGACAAAGAATAGTTTTCCTCAAGGTTGAGTTCAAGTTTGCATCAACCTTGCTACGCGTGTTGCGTAGGCGTAGGGCCAGTCAGCTAGTTCAAGGGTTTGGTAAAAAGCAAGATCTTTTTAAAAATAGTTCTTTCTTGTAAAGTGGCTAATTACAAGAACATCCCTTTTTTCAAAATTAGCCGATATATGATTGAAAGATGTATGAAAGGTGTACGAACAAGTAATATAGAAATCTCAAAATATTTTCATCTGATATCATATAAATATTTTAAAATATCTTAAAATTTGATTTAATTAAATTATTAAAGTTAAAAAAGAAGAAATTGTCGTTTTCTAGGTTTTAAAGTGTTTAATTCTGATAATTCTTATGTCACTTTTGTAGAGAAACCACAATTGAAAATAATCAGTTTTAGAATTATAAACATTAATGATTAATTCATCAGACAAAGCTTGTAAGGGTACAATTTTGAATCAAGCATTGCCATCTTTGCATGGAGGGTCACTTGAAATTACGCTTACAGTCCCTTTAAATATTTATTATTGATGAGATCAAAACAAAAATTATTTGAACTTTCTCAACAAAAAATTTAAATATTTAGTGCTTGAAATAGGAAGTTCTTATTTTTTTAGTCAGTCTATCCTCATACAGCATGTCAATGTCAGAAACATTTAGTAAGTCTATCCTTATACAGCATGCCAATGTTAGAAACATTTAGTAAGTCTATCCTTATACACCATGCCAATGTCAGAAACATTTAGTAAGTCTATCCTTATACAGCATGTCAATGTTAAAAACATTTAGTAAGTCTATCCTTATACAGCATGAAAATGTTAGAAACATTTAGTAAGTCTATCCTCATACAGCATGCCAATGTCAGAAACATTTAGTAAGTCTATCCTTATACAGCATGAAAATGTTAGAAACGTTTAGTAAGTCTATCCTTATACACCATGTCAATGTTAAAAACATTTAGTAAGTCTATATCCTTATACAGCATGTCAATGTTAGAAACATTTAGTAAGTCTATCCTTATACAGCATGTCAATGTTAGAAACATTTAGTAAGTCTATCCTTATACACCATGTCAATGTCAGAAACATTTAGTAAGTCTATATCCTTATACAGCATGTCAATGTTAGAAACATTTAGTAAGTCTATCCTTATACACCATGTCAATGTCAGAAACATCGATAACACCAAATAAATTACTAAGTACTTGACAATCTATTTGAATAAAACTGAAATAAAGTAAATAGTATTTTTTCTCTTGTTTTACAAATTTTTAATGTACTGTTACCCAACTCCAAATAAACATTTGTATTTAGGAAAACATAAAAATCTTATTCACTAGACTTCTAGAGCACTTCAAGTCCATCTTCTGATAACAATTGTAAAGTTTTATGTTATTCTTCAATCCACCACTTTTTCGTAAGTTAGTAAAACACACAAATCCACGGATTTTTCTGTAAATATTTATAAACTTTTAAACTTTTGAGAAATCAACATTTTTCCCGGACAAAATTGTTAAACTTCAGTCAGCAATAGTCTCTCCTCATGTTAGTTGCCGAAATAATTAGGTCTGACCTTGCAGACTAACGTTTATTAAATTTTCTTAGCATTTATATCATGAATATCTATTTATCTAAATATTTAACATATTTTCTAAATTTTAAGACAGATATATTAATATGGATACTATATATATATAATTATTTTCTTAGTATTTATATCATGAATATCTTTCTATCTAAATATTTTACATATTTTCTATATTTTAAGAGTATCATATATAGAGATTTTTGACCAACTGTTATAACTGTTCCTACTTTCTCCAGGAATACGTAACGTCATCTGTTAGGTCAATCCGGTACAAAATTTTCGTGTAAATTTCACAAAGTTGTATATCAATTTCTCGAGATAGGAACATCAGATATAACTTTCATGGGTCGCGATCGAGAGCTAAAGTGACTAGCTTTCAGCCTATACCCCCTTTCATTTTTCCTTTACAGTCCCTTTTATAAGAGTCAATCTATTAACTTAGACCTGATAAACTAAGCTAGGAACATTTCCGAGGTTTTGCAGAGTTACCTAATCATAATTTGAGGCAAATAGGTTAAGGGGTTCCTGAGTTATGATCATACAAATAAACAAACAAACAAACATTACTACCTTGTATAGAGATACGTTTCCTCATATAACCTGTGATATGAATAGTGTCCTAGCAAGCATGATAAGCTGTGATAAGCTGTGATGTGAATAGTGTCCTAGCAAGCATGATAATTTATAGAATGTTTTTATATCGCTAAAAAATCGTTTATGAAAAAAAAATATATCAAATATTTTTAATGTTAGCGTTGTTTTAATTTAAAATTTGGTAAAAGAGAAATATTCAAAGTTTTCTTTACAAAAAGGAGATAAGAATAAGATGAATTAAAAATTAAAAACTTTCTTTTGTATTTTTATTTCAATGAAATCAAAAATTTAAAGGACTTCAGAATTATTTCTATGCAACATGGAAATGGAGGAGGGCTTTGATTTCAAGTTTTATATTTAACAAAACAGAATTTCCAAAAATCTTATTCAAACCTAACTTGAAACTAGTCTTTGGTGTTTTCAGACAACGTAACAACAACTTTCTGTATTAACTACTGACTGTATCCACTACTGACTGTATCAACTACTGACTGTATCAACTACTGGCTGTATCAACTACGGACTGTATCAACTTCTTGCTGTATCAACTACCTACTGCATCAGCAACTTGCTGTATCCACTACTTAATGTATCAACTACTTACTGTTTCAACAACTTGTTGTATCAACTACTTACTGTATTAACTACTTACTGTTTCAACTACCTGCTGTATCAACTGCTTACTGTATTAACTACTTACTATATCAACTACTTTCTGTATCAACTTCGTACCGTATTAACTACTTACTGTATTAACTACTTACTATATCAACTACTTTCTGTATTAACTTCGTACCGTATCAACTACTTGCTGCAAGAACCCTCCATCTCTAGAGTGACATGTCCGATTCACAACGAAAGCTTTCGTGGTGTTCGTTTGGAAAAGTGTTGCTTACTCACAATAGCTTTTTCCTCACTTTACAAGTCACTCTGTTATTGAGAACCACAATTGAAAATATCTAATCAAGTTTTAAATAATATTTTTATATCATTATCTTGGATCAGTGAAAGGTTTAAAGGGAATCTGAAACGTCACTTTCAATTATAGCAAAGGGTCATGTGAATTTACATCTATAGTACTTTAAGGTATCATCTGTTTAGTTATTGACTGCATTAAGTGCGTGGGACATCAATAAAATGATACATTAAATGGTTATTTCTGTATTGTTATACTACTATACTATTTCTGTATTGTTATACTACTATACTATTTCTGTATTGTTATACTACT